ACACAGCGTGTGTGTATATGCTGATCCTAAATGTGTACAACAAAAAAGGCGATTAATGTCACATTCCTGCTGACATGTTAAAATGCCATTTAAATGTCATTAATTTGGTGTTTAATCTATTGGCAATATTTGACATTTTACATGGTGGTGATCATGTTTTGTTGTTGTTGCTGCCGCTATTACATTGTTCATATATATATATATATGTACATGTAAACGTGTGCGTTCGCTTTTAGTTTTTCTTTTTCATTAAAAAAATTTTCTCTTTTGCTTTTCATCCAACATCAGCACTGATGTTTGCATAATGTGCACAAAGGAAACCTTATCTTTTTTTTTTTTTTTTTTTTTTTTTTAATAAATATATTGTATAATTGTACAGTTGAAATTTATATCTAAGGATATTAAGCACAAGATTTGATAAAGCACATCAAGGAAGATAAAATAGAATTTTTGAAGTAAAAGCAAGCAAACATCTCGCGTCTCTATGCTTGATGCACGCTGCTATACACTCATCGTGGCCCAGTTTACTTTTGCATACATATATGTCTTCATTTTCATTTAAGTCTTTTTCCAATTGTTGCGAAGCCTAAGCAAAATTAGCAAAAAGTTTTGTTTCCTCTAAACGAAAGTGTAATAAAGTTTGTAAGGGCTTGTGACCCCGCCTAGCTCAACTCACATCACGAGTTAAATTAAATACAATAGAAAAAAAAAAAAACAACAAAAACTAAAGGAACATTCGTCGTTATTGAATTCTCTCTGTAACACGTCTGTCCAGCATTACTCCTAGTCTATGGTTCATCCTCCTTCATGCACCTCAGTTACCTTTCCATTTGCCTTTCCTTTGCCATTGCCTTTCTTGCCTTAGCAAAACCAGTACAAAAATGACACAACTTTATCATAATAAGAAAATATTTTCTCCTTATCCGTCTGAGTGGCCGAGCGGGCAAATGACCTCGACTAAAAGCTCAGGCGCAATTTTTTTTCACTACAGACTTTTCAATTGATTCGATTGCCTTAAGATTTTAGTTTTGGAATTTATTTCCCTAGCTAAACTAATTGCAATAATAATAAAAACAATTTTTGAATTCATAAAAACATATAAAAATAAATTTCGTGTTATGTTCATTAAAGTGTGAGTGTGAAACAATGTCGGGATGGCATAATACTATGTAGATTATTCTGCCGAATACTTGATTACCAATTAACGATCTTTATGGACTTGTTCCTCGGATTTGTGATCCTCATTTTGCATTCTCGCTGTGGACATGTGTCGACTTGAGCCTTCCAACAGGCGTTTGGGTGTCGAATAGAATAAAGGCAGATATAAAAGTTCAGCATGTTCCAATGATAACAATGCCAAAGTGACGACGGCTTCAGCTAATCGATGAATCAATACTGACAATGTATTTCACCATCGGTCCCAAATTCCTTATCACAATAAGAATAATAATGAATTTAAAATGGCAGTCGCTTCCAAATTAGCAAAGTTTTTATATTTGCATTTGGAGCGCCAGTTGCTGCCGTTCTTAAAGGATCGTCCAGCATCATGCAAGCTTTGCTTAAGTGCTCCCTTTTTTGATTAGACCCGTTGTTGAATCAATACAACGGTTTTCAAAAGTCTTCTCGGCGGATCAAAATGCACGACTGTTCCGATTTTTGTTTGTTATATTTCTAACTGGAAAAAAAACTAATTTTTGTTGATTTTTCTGTTGTTCCAACTACTTTATCTTATTGTGTTTCCCTGAGTTTTCATCTTTATAGTCTAGTAAATGAAAATTTCGTATATATTTTGTTCCTATATCTCCAATAAGTTATTTTTATCTTAATGTTTACTTTAGCGTTTTTTTTAATGTTGCATAGACGATGATTAGACATAAGTCGACTAAAAACCAACTTTCTTTCGTCTCCTTTGCCGATCTCATGTGATCGACTTATTTTTCCTTAGATTCTTCTGCCTTTTCCCTTTTCTTTCGTGTTCAAGACATTGCGTGGACATAGTCATGACAGCTAGCCACTATGCCAAGCAAATGCCGACACTTTCGGTCCTTGCGCTTCTTTCTCATAAGTTTTTCTTACATTTTGTATAGAATGGATTTGTTATTGCTTAGAACTTTACTTTTAAACGTCAAAGATTTTATCTTGTTTTTCACTTTGTTGAAATTCCTTTTACTCAGAACTAGCACCATCCGCCACAATTGAGATGAAGGCAACTTTACTGTACTGATCGTTATAGATTCACTTTTTGCATCGATCTAAACTTGTCTGTCTGTCTGCCTGCCTCTCTCTCTAGTACATCGATTTGTCTTGGTGCAAAAATACTACGGATCGGACCATTTTTTCGGCCACTTACCCTGTGATGAAAATATGTTTTATATGAGCATTTGTATTAAGTGAATTGGTGTAGAATATATAATGTTTTTACTTGACATTAATATAATTTATTTAGACCAAGGAAGTAAATTTCAGGACTAAAACTTCCCATATAACGTCTTATTTTCAAAACTCGTTTCATGAATAAATAAAGGGTAGCGTAGCCAATTTTGTTGTACTGGCGACCGACAATAGTCTTTTCACTTGCTTTAACTTAATTATTCTTATATTGAAGGTAAGCCCTACAAGGATGCATTTGTTTCGATTGACTTTAATCCTTTGCAAGAGTGAAAACGAAAACAAAAAAGAAAGGAATGAATGGCTAAAGGTTTAAGTCAAGTAGGATTTAATTTTTCCTCGTCTTTGGTAGATTTGACTCTTTTCGCTGGTCCTATGGCTCGGTCGTCTACCTATAACACTTACTAACCTATATACGCAGGTTATGTCTAAAACAAGATTTCAATTTTTTTACTTCGGTTTTTTTGTTTTTTGTTTCATGTTAATTTTTTTTAATAGCTTATTCAGCTTTACCCTTAAACAAGATTCGACCTACTTTTCATATTTTTCGTATTTTAATAATAATACAAAAAAAAAAAAAAAAAAAAGAAAAAATATTCATAACCTACTATTTTTTCATTTATTTTTTTATTTTTTTCAATAAAAAAAAAAAACCAACTAAACACACTTGTAGGTTTTTGTTACAGTTTTGCTTTATGTACAAACGTTGCAAAAGTAATCAAGCATAGCGTAAAGCGTAAACTTGCAACTGTAGTGCTCATAATTAACACAACTTAGTTACAGAGCGATGTAGAGCTACGGAAAAGAAGAAAAAATCCAAAAAGAGAAACATTAAAAAATAAAATAAAAAAATTATAATAAAAAACCATGAAACATAAGGAAAAAATTACGCGCTTTATTGCGTTACAAGAGCCTCATAATTTTTTTTGTTCAAGTCTATGTATGTCTGTAATATCTTACCAGAGGCTTTAAAATGTCAGTTAATGTAGAGGTTTATGTATCTTTTTTTAAGCATTTTACGCTGTATTGTGCTATCCGACATTGTTTTTTTTTTTTCTTCTTTTCTGCACTATTGTTAACCAATAATTAAGCAATTATAATAATTACAAACAATTGACCACTTTTTGACACGGTGCAAAAGGCATTTTTTCTCTCTCCCTGTCTCTCTCTCTCTCTCTCTTTTGTTATTACTTGAAGACAATTTGAAGTTTTTTTTTTTTTTGTTTCGTTTAGCTTTTGTTTTGTTTTTGTTAAGCTATTTAACGTTTTGGATTTTAATGTTTACTATTTGGTTTGTGCGGTAGTTTGACGACAATATGTTTGAAAATTTTTTCTTAACGTATACACGCGCATTGCAAAGTCAGTTATGCTATAGCGGAAAACTGCCTTCTAGTGATTATATCACCAAGTACCAGCACTACCACCACCACCATCACCAACAACAACAACAACAACAACAACAACAAGAACAACAGCAACGAGAGCAACACAGCAACCAATCAACCATTAGAGTTTAGATAAAATTGTTTGATAATATCGCAAGCTGGTAAAGTGCATTTGTTAATGGTTAATTGAGTCTAAGTCTAAACATCACAATCACGTGCCATAGTTACATGGTAAACTGTAACGAAATGTACACTTAAAAAAAGCAAATAAAACAAAAAAAAAACAAAAAAAAACAAAAAAAGAACAATAAAAAAACAAAGGCATTGTTATAAATTTCAAATAAATCAATTTTATGTTGAAAAGATTTCCAATTTTTTTTAGTGCCATTCGATTCAACCTAACGAACGCATGCATCCGAAATGAAAGTCGCAGAAACAATCACATCTCGTATTCGAACATCTAGTGTTTTGTTTGTGTATGAACAGATTGGGCCGATTAGAGAGCGCCTTTGAATTTATCTGAAAAGTAAAGTATTCCTTCCATTTCCAGTCGTTAGACTCAGAAAGTTCAGAAGCAACTTAGAGCGCGTTTCTTTCCAGTGTACATTCCCGCACATTCTTGCATACTTTTTTATTGCCCGCCTAGTGATTGTAAAATCGAGCAATTAAAATTTGTAACATTGTAATATATATTAATTTTCCTTTACTATTTATTAATGTTCAGTTTTCGATGTGTTTATGAAATCGCTTGTGTTGTGCGTCCAATTTCCGGTTTACGAAAAGTGCCATAAATAAAAGATCAAATTTCTTTTTTCTACGGTACACATTTCCACTAATTACTTTAAACTGTTAACTTGATTGACGCTCATGCTTGACTCGCTGACTTGCTGTTGTCCACATATCTATAATACGTTAACTGTCCGGCTGGATTGAGTGCGTGCGTTTATATTGTGACTTATGAGACTGTTTTAATAAATTACGTTTTCATATCATTCCTTAATTGAGTGCTATAGCGTGATAATGTCTTTTTTACTGTCTTGGGCATCTCAGAGTGAGGAAAAAACTTTTGAAAATTTAATTAACAAATTAATATTTTTAAGTAGTATTTGGAAAAATATTTAAACGCGCTGTTTAAACACATTAAACACTTATTTACTTACTAAGCTATTCATCTTCTTTTTTTTTTTTTCTCATTTACTTAATATAAACTTTCGAGTAATGCCTTACCTTTGTGTAAAACCATAGGAATATCTCTATAGTTTCTCAGCAAGATAAGCTGAAAGAGAAAGAAAGAATCATTTTTTAATTAGGGTAAAACATGCCAATAAAAATAAAAAATCAAAAGTCCTGCTATTGAAGTGTCTTTAACTTTTTTCTTTAAAACACTTTCCCCCCAATCGTAACTGAGGAAAATATTGAAACTGTGCGAAAATTGCTTTAAAAGGATAACCAAGCGACTTGTAACGTTTTGGGTGCATGCCTGTGCATTGGCACTTCATAAATCGAGAACAGTCGCCTGCTCGTGAAAAGATCTGTTCTCATGGATAGCGTATAATTTCATATCTGCTCGAAAGAAAGTTCGCCGCGAAATTCGGTGCGAGAGGCGACTACATCGATTGTAATGAGAAGCTATAAATGAGAAATGCAACATTGTTGCGAGCGATAACAGTTGGCTATGTGCTTTCAATCCGGAGAAAATTGAGATGTAGGTAGTTCGAAAATGAAGTAGATTGACCGCACTGTAGGGGTGCAGACAGCATAGACAAAAACATTATTATTTTCTCCGGCATTGCTCACGTTGCTGCATTACAGTCAATTTTGAATAATATGCCATCTGATGAATGCGAAGTGTCATCAACTGAGCAAGAGAAAGAAAACAATAACGACAACAACAATAGCGGAGCAACTAAAGTTGCCAGGAAAGCACATCCACATATAAAAATATTGAACCATTAATCCAGATAATCTATGACATAGCCACGTAGTTCAGGAACGCAATAACCAAGCCGGTATAGCCGGATTCAATCTTCATTGCGTTAGACTACATTTTAATTATAATTATTATGCCATTGTTATTGGTCTCAGCAGCCTCAGTAAGCGACCAGCGACCAGCAAAAACATTACATTTGCCAGGGTGTCAGGGTGCACACCTCTCAAGCATCGCAGGCGGCCACCTTCTGTTTCTGTTTCTAAACATTTCCCTGATCATGGCAGTGTTAAACGTATAGAAGAATTTCCTTGAGCGTATGGTCATAAAAAAAGAGCGAAAGATCTTTTGCCGCGAAAGTGGCTTAAGACGTTTGAAAAGACAGTGTTGCTTTCTAAGTTACACGCTGAAGAATGGCACCTCATTACGAAAAGCACGTTGGAAGAGTGCATACATGTATTCAATTCAGGAAAGTATATTTTGAAAAACAAAATAATATAATAAACAAATCTCATCCGCCTGAGTGGCCGAGTAGCCAGGAGTTTCGACTAACAACTCAATGCTCGTGGGTTCAATTCTCAAGTGCGGTAGAGTTTTTACTAAAGCCGAAAGCCTTAGATGCTAGTGCTCTAAGACTTTAGTCTTAGAATTTATTCTCTGGCTAGATTTACAATAATAATAATAAATAAACAAACACATGAAAAAAATGAAGTCATGGATGCAAGACTTCAGTGCTTTTCAATGGCATAGCCCAAAAAGGGGTGCCATTTTAGCTTCGCGCCTCTTCTCAATTGACACCAGATCGACTCGATCGATACTCGATGCTGTTATTGGTTTCAGAAGAACCAATTTCTGTTAATCAACTTCTTATTGAGGCATATACGATGAGAAGAAGAATGACGAGAAGTAGTTTTTATTATGCGATGATGTATACTTCACATATTTAGAATAGCAAAGACTTGCACCAAGATAAAGCCGAAAATTATCCAAGAATTAAATTAAATGCTAAACGAAGTTTAAACGTTTTAAGCTCAAAACTAATTCCTCTGTAATTATATTTGAGAAAAAAAAGCCCATTTTTATAATGAGCGACCCGAAGCGTTCACTCTGACAGGTGTTTACATTTTTTTTTTTTTTTTTTTTTCTTTTGTATTTAATTGATTTTAATTTAATTTTTAAAAATAAGTTATCGAAAATTAGTTGAACAAAAAGTCTCAAGCTCCTTTGCCAATCTATCTGCAAGTAGATGACATTATTAAAACGGCTTGAAACCGCTTGTTGTTCTCAATAATTGTTGTAAATTAAGATAAGAGGCAAAATTTTACCAAAAATATAACTGAAGTGAACTCCATGTCATGTACAGAAAACAGTTGCTGTTTTTCCTTTTTTTAAATAAAGTCTCTAAAGATCAAAAGCAGAAAAAAAATTTGCAAGCGGCTTGAAGTGAATCTTGAATACCTAACGCTTTAGTTATTTTTATGAAAAGTGCAGATTTTCCTTTCCACTTATAATTAATTGACACGATTTTGCTACAGAATTATCTTATGTTTAAGCTGAACGTGTTGTGCACTGAAGATTTTGTTTGTTACATTCATTTCGGTTCAGTGTTGTTCCTTCTACGATAAGCGAAACCATTCAGGTTTCCTTGTACGCTTTGTGTCTTAGCATTGCTTGTCTATCTTGAATTTTGAAGACTTTGTCACCGGCATAGGGAAGGGTGAAGGGCAGAGGAGTGTTACAAACAGAATTAATAAATTAGTATACCGCAGTTCTTCCGGGGGTAAGCTTTAAAATTCAAATTTCAAATATGCTTTTAATGTGGTTTCTCAAGATTAGCTTAGAACACACCCGTTTATTGTTATTTTGAATAGAAACACTTGAGGCTCATAACCCGCACTCTTTGGCACCTTTAATAAAAACAAATGTGCCAACAAATGGGAAAACAAAACTAAACAAAAAATTCCACAATTCTTTTATTTTTGTCTTGTGAAGATCAAAGTTGAAGCATATTTTACTTACATACATACATACATACATACATATATTCATAAATATAAGCCGAATGAAATGAAAATGATCGTTTGTCTTGCCGATAATCTTGATCGATTTTTCAATGTGTGTATCTATGCAAGTGTTTGTAAGCTTGCGTATATATATATGAATTCATATAACGCACATATCTTTAAGAATTATGAAATTTTCAACTCTCACAGGCTTACTATGCAAGTAAATCAAATAAATGGTCTGAATACAATATTATTTAGAGCTATTATTAATGGTGTTGGGCTGGCTGGTAGTGGTATCGGCCATGTTACAAAAGCATAAAAAACACTCAATGAAAATTAATGGACTTGTATAACTCTGAGACCATTTGGCTTTGGATTTATATAATGATTGTGGAAATAATAAAAAAAAAAAAAGAATAAAAAGTAAAAAAAAAAAAAATAATAAAAAATAATAATAAAATAAAGCAAAAGCGTAGCTTTAATTTAAACAAGCACCACCACTACCACCACCACCACCTCAAACCAAACCCCAACAAATACTAATAATAGTAACAATAATAGCAGTGTACACCATCAACTACAACAGCGGGAGCCGCCGCGAATGCTTATAGCGGGTGTGTTTTGTTTTACTCTACCAAGCAGCAAGACAATGTAATGCATGTGTAAAAATGTTAAAAACGTGACCAAACTTATTGAAGCTGGACCTCAAAGGTTTTCTAACTTTTTTAACTTTACGAACTTATTCTGTAAGCTGAACAGATAACACATTATTCCCTGCGCTTTGTTACTCTTGTTGTACAGTTTTTTCTTTTTTCTTGTTTATCTATTTCTATTTCTCTTTCTATTACTATTTCATTTGATGTGATTTGTTTTGTTAAGCGCCCCAACCGTAAACTACTTGTCATACATAACGCGGTGTATACATGATTTCTGTCGTACTAGGGAAAAAGATATTGAGAACAAAAAAAAGGCAAAAGGCAAAAAAAAAAAAAAAAAAAAAGTCGTAAAATTATACTCTTATAATACATATCGATCGTGTGTGTATTTGAACATTAAATCATGTCTGTGTTGGGGAATTTTCAGTTAAATTCTTAAATAATTGACATATTTTAGCGGCATTGTTACAATAACTGTTTCAAGCCAAACACAGCAATTGACTTTGTACTAATTGTCGCGTTTGTCGCTCTCTGACTCTGGCTCTAACTCGGCCACCGTATCTATCATTTCACGGAGCCAAATGTGTTTGTTTCTTTCCTACATGCATTCATTCAATTGTTGGTTTGTCCATTTGTTCGCATGTTCGTTTGCCCAACACATTAATTTCATGTCTTTTAGCTTTCCTTAAAAAGCATTCAGTTCAAATTGTTAATTGATAATTCATAAGCCGCAGCTATGCCATGACGAACGGCATGTTCTTTGTGTCACCATATACGGTGGCGAGCATAAATGTTGCATCGTTAATTGTTCTACTTGGTAAATAATTCACACAAATTATCTTTGACTGTCCGTTTGTCGTTAAGTTTGGTAGCATGTGTGCTGTGTGTGTGTATGTGTGTGTGTGTGTGTGTGTGTGTAATAAAAAAAAGAGAGAAAAAAAAAAAGCAAAAAATATTGTAGTAAAAATTTTAGTTATAATTACATGTAAGTGTACAAAACCCGATTACATTTTATATATATAAATATATGATGATTAAGTAAATAGCAAAAAATGAATATAGTTAATGATTAGTTAACCCCTTCGGGACAGACAGTGCACTTGTTTAAAGATAACCTGCAAGAACGCAAAATTCTGCACGATCATCCCTGATGGTCTTCGCATTGGGTTAACCCTTTTAGCGACTAAATTGAAGCCAATGCTCCCACACCTTTAACATAGTTTTTATTTCCATCTAGCCTCACATCAGTGACTGCTTTCTCCATACTGAGTGGTAATTTCAATTCAGCAGCATTGCACGTTCTTTGGCTCAGAAATTCATGGCGCACAATACGGTACACAATACGTCTCGAATGAGCTAAACTGATTTTCATCACTCTTTCAGTAGCTTTGCTATGTTTCTCCACAAAACATTTTCATAAAATTCGAATATTTTTATCAGAGGTAGCAAGTCCTATTCCTTTCGAATCCAACTATACTTTGAGGATCAAAGTCATCGGTTGGTTTTGCTATCAACTTAGCAATGCGAATGCGCAGCTGTACCGCCATATCTTAACTATGATTGGCTGACAAGCTTTGCTACAATGAATCATGAGGATGAGTAAACGAAAAGTTCACGCATCATCAATTAGAGATGACGCAAAAGAAAGAATGAACCTTGAAAGATATACTGAGAAAAAATTTGACTT